CAGAGAAGGTATATTTAATAAAAACATAGTTGAATCTACGAAATGGTGTTTGACCCATTTGCATCATGCACTGCCAGTTATAAATATTTTAATAAAAATTAATATTATGCGTCATATAATAATTCTTATAATATTTCATACAATATTCTCTACACATTTATCATAACACAGTACTCATCGAGAGAAATATATTCCTATTATTTTATCAAACCGACATTCAAGGCTCTACACTAAAATCAATAAATAAAGGATTCACTCTGTGTAGCTATTTCAGTGATAATGGCAAGAAACATTGTGATAGATATTAATGACGCTAAAGAGTTAAGCCGCGATCATGCAAAATTGGCGTGCGCACAGTCGAACCTCGTCTGTTCTGGCACAGGATCTCCGTCAGGAAGATATAAGCTGCTCTCGACTCAAGGCGGATGCTTCCGGAGCCAACAGCCACCACAGCTGGGTGCTCGGTTTCCTGGCCCCGTTGTTTCTCTCCGCCGTGCCCTTAGAATCGTACGGTACAGGTTCTCCTTTACCGGTCCGCGATAAGTGCCGAGAGAGTTTCGAAACTCGTCCCACGGTCCACGGCGATGAGCGCGCACATCCAGAAGGCAATCGTATTGGCGTTCGATGATGCGTCCGTTCCAAACTGGCTCCCTAGTATCTCCCGGTCCAGATCGATAATATTCATTCGAGATTATGCGGGTCCGGTCACCAGATGGAAAATAAACGTACTCGCCAAGTTTCTGACTCCCGTTCCTTCCGTCTCCTCCGGTCGCATCGGTCGCGTCCCGTTTTTGAACAGTAGCCATTTATCCTCGAGTGTTCTTCAACGTCGATACCCGTTTTCCATTCCGAAGGAAATTGAATTTTCGTATACGACGATTATAGGATAAACTGCTGTTGATATACCCACCTACGTGGCTCGCATTACATTTTCGTTTATAGATTTATGTGTCTGACCTAATACCGACCTTAACTACTTTCCCGAGAATTCCCGTAACATTTAACAGCCTGCCTCCTTAAACGTGATACCTTTTAAACGGACGGTGTATAATTTTTATCTGCGTCAGACACTTGTTCCAATATAATTATATAAAAGTACAGTCAGCTACTGTTTTTAATATTACTTTTGCAAAACATTTAATGTAATCTCTCTTTGTCTTTCGAGTTAGCAAACCTTTTTCGTAGTGCAACTGTCTGGTAAATTATAAGCCACAAGGCTACTTAGCATACTATCAACAAGAAACACAGTGAATTTTCACGCCCGTTAACCGCTGTTCCAAGTCACACGCATACTCTCCGCTCTCGCGAACAGCACGCACGTTAATCGCATACACGTATGCATATGAACGAGGAAGCGTGTTTCAATTAAATTGTACGTCCTATCGGCGACGCTTACCACCGCTCCGTGTCTGTGAACGTGCACACCGGTGTGTCACGCAAGTGTCGCACGCAGCCAAGATACGCGCTTCGCTTATAATGCGCGAGATACCGTGAACCGTACAAGACGTTCCCAGAGATGCCTCTTGATTATCCTGGAACACTGTGCAACCCGTTCCACGGACTACTGTCTACGATACAACGTAGCATTTACTTGAAGTATAAATGCATATATCCAGTATTCGATCGATCATAAAATTTTGATCATGCGCCAATACTTTGCGATGTTTTTTGAAGTAGGAGAATTGTACTTGTTGACTTCATGACAAAGGCTATCACAGTTTCTGAAAATATTCTGGATAACTTCTTTATTATCTCAATCGTATCTTGATTCACTGGCCCAGAATTCGAATCATACTCCCCCTGAACGAAAGGTCAGAGCTCGTAATCATTGAGAAACGAAACTTCACTCGTCGAACTTCAAAGCACTATACGACTAAAAGTTCCACTTTTGCCTCGCGTTCCCTAATTAACGCGCAGTTTCTAATTATGGAATTGCATACGGCGGCGTGGTTGAAACGTCAGCTGTCAATAGTCGGAAACCGAGAATCGGTGCTGATTCAGCTGGAATTCACCGGGAATCACCTTGAGGAACGTGGACAAAGGCACGTGCGAGGGTGACAGTATCGCAGCCTTGACCCAAAAACGACCTGTCGCCGTCGTCGCGTTCCACCCTCCTTCGTTCGGTTTGACGGTTATTTCGTTGAGGAAGTTCGTCGTCGAAAACAGCCGAGACCCGCGGCTTTGATTAAATCGGTGTCTCGAATGAGTGAGATCGCTTCCGCTTCTGTCACCAGTTTCGCTTTGGGGATCGCGGAACTTGGCTTTGGCACACTGACATTTGAGTGAAATTGTCGCCTGCTGTGAAAAAGATTTTAAAGTCGTAATTTAAAGGAACGACGACTAAGCTAGCTGAAAGTCTCCTTAACGCCAAACTTTGCGGTAGTTTCATGTAGAAACTCGGTTATCTCCCTCATCGACATTGTAGTCGATAAAGAACTAACGATGCTATCCAGTAAATTCGGGGTAAAATGATATAACATCATATTTAATTATATTGACAATTAAGCAATCTGAAAAACATATATTAAAAGATAATGTCTGATTGAAGCGTGAAACGAATAATTAAGGATGAGGATTATGAATGGTATTCTTAATTTAAAAATCACAGTAGAGTAAAAAGTATTATATTTTTATTATAAAACAATTATAATGTTATAAAAACTATGTGTGTATAGATAATCGACACGAACGTTAAATATAACGAAATAGATTCACATATACATATTTCCAACTTCCGAACCTCGAAAGGGTTGGACTCGAATAGTAGTCCGTCCACGGTCTCGTGCTTCTTAAGGAATCGACCCCCGCCCTCCTCGGTATCGTAACGATTCGAATCTTCGTGCAAAACGAAAGCCCGACCGTTCCGAGGGAAATAGCATTTGCTATGTTCTTGCCCGGGCTCACCGGCAAATGTCAAAGTTCACAGTACAGCGATTCAACTGATCAATATTGCCCAGTGTTGTTACGTTGCGTGGATATTTAGAGAACAATTCCCGAATATCTCGTATTTTGATAGTTAGAGGATTTCTTCCGGTAATCTGGATTACCATTGAAAAAGATTCGAATAGTTTAGAGCGTAAATAAAAAACTGAGCGGAATATTGAATTTTTATGACAAACCGAAAACGTGGATACTGAATTTTGTAAATATAGAAATATATCTCTTTATTTTTGATAGAATCGATATAATCATCGAACAGAGCGGCGTAGTCGTTTGTCCTTCGGCTGGGATTATCCCGCAGGATTTTCTCGGGGTCGCAAGGCTTCCGCGCCACGCCCCGGGACACGCGTGGGCCGAAAGGGTAAAGGGTGCTCGTTGCAGCCTGGAATTTCAGCGACCACCAGCAGGAAATCAATTACGAGCCTTTAAATCCCACGTCGACCGGCTTCCTATCGATTCCCTTACTCCCACGGAAGTATTTTGCGACCGCCTTGCATCTGCTTATGAAAATCCCGCCACCGTTGCCACGGCGGCCGCCACCGTCGCCTTCGGCTTGTTATCGAGCGGAGGTATCAACCGTGGCGGTTTTTTTTATTTTTACTTCGGGAAATGGAGCTCAGGACTGGTTCAGTATTGGAGACTTTAGGAGCGGCTTAGAAATCGGCCCGGATCAAATAAATACAGGCTTTTTTCATTAGTTTCTGCGTCTTGATAAGTCTCACAGTATAAGTTAAACATTGCCTTTATTTATTTTACCATACATGCAGGAATTCAATTTTGCAATTCTTACGTCAACTGTAAATGATAAATTGTTCGAATCCTGATCTACGAAGGGTCGATGTATCCTGTTCCGCGTGTCGTTTCAAAGAAACCGCGCTCAATTCGATTGCTTGCAACAGAACGAACGAACGTCCCCGATCTTGGCTGGCTGGCAAGGACGAGGTCGCGAGCGCGGCTTAATCGTCTGTGGTCGTGGCTCGTCCGTGTCTCGATCCGCGGGAAGGGGGTTGGTATGCAGTCGCGGGTTGCAGGCGCACCCCAGAGCTGCGTGTCGTAGAGATAATACACGGACACGCGAGGCGTCGCGAAGCGGGACGAAGAACATGCGGAGAAAAGAGGAAGAAGCAGCGTGCGACGAGTGCATGCATGCACGCAGAGAGAGCATCGCCAGGGAACGAATACGGAGTGAACGAGAGAAAGAGAGAAAGAGAGAGAGAGAGAAAAATAGAAAAGCGTAGGTGGTTACCAGCGGCGGGTCGCGAAACGGAACGGTAGGGACGGAAAGGGTGGCGAGGACTCGCTTCCGTGTCCCAGTAGCACTAATGACCGCCATCCTCCCCTCTTTTCGTTCACTGTCTCCCACCAGCTCGCCCTTGCACTCTCTCCCTTCCATTTTATACCCCTCCTACTACTATTCCTGTTCACTCAGCGCCACCGTTGCTCGTTGCCTCCCTTCCACGTGTACACTCGTCTCCACAAGTATCACGGCAGTAATAGGAGACAGTTATGAAAATGTCTGAATCATGCACGACTCAAAGAAATATGATTCCAATACAATAGTGAATAGATCTATCAAAGAAGAATTCCAGAATTATATTCGTGCTATAGAGCAAATATACATATAAACCACCTTTTCTTTAGCACCCTATAATAATCTGAGGCTTTCAAACTTATTCATAAATGGATCATATTTTTCGAATTGTACACCGGACAGTGTCGATGATAACGATGTTCTTCAGTTTGTGATCGAGAGTGTACATCCAGGATGACTCGGGTTACGTCATAGCGCCTAGAGCGGGTGCCACTCCAGCTTGTTCGTTCTCCCCTCAAACGAATCACTCTCTCTCTCTCTCTCTCTCTCTCTCTCTCTCTTTCTCTCCCTCACTCTCTCTCCTCCCACCGCGAAAACTATCGCGTATACTCCCCGACCTTCCTGATCCACGGCCCCTCCACTCTCTGGGTCCCGCTGGTGGTTCAGAATCCAGCGTATACACACGCGACGCGAGTGCGCTATATATCTTTTTCTACTATAGCTGGCCGAGCGAGCACTCCGCGAGACCGTGAGGAACCCGGCACCGGCAGTCTCCGCTGGTACACCGAGCTGTGTGTTACCGTTCCTCGCCTGCTTGGTTATCACGTTTCTCGCCCGTAATCAGCGTCGACGCGCGTCCAGATCCCGACACCCAGAAAGAGAGAGAGAGAGAGAAAGAGATCCCGTCGTCGCGTACTCGTCGCGTCATACGCGCGCGCCACCCCCTTCTACACATATGTACATATAGAACTTTTGAGGAGAAAGAGAGGGAGTGATATACACACTGGTGACCCAGCACGCGCCGCCAACCCCTTTCGACACGCATACGCGTACCTTCGCAAAATCGTGCGAATCGGATCCGAGGGATACAAAGGTGTTCGAGCTTGGAATCAGTGCGAGGACGCGAGTAAACAGGCACGCGGCGGCAGTCAGTGAATTAAAGAAAACAGGGTTTAAAGGGACTGTGTAAGCAGGTGCACACTGTCTACGTACCCTCACCCGGAGTAACGCCGAGAGAGGAGTAACACGTGCAGGTGTGTATCCGAGCACGTGTACGCGGTACCCGTGCGTAAATACTTACTTCTCTGTGTGCGCATTTGTGTGATTGATTTAGGAGAACACGGCACGCGAAGAAGGAGACAGTACCGGGCAAACAGGTAGGCGAACACGAGTCGGATCAACCGGAAGTTGACTCGGCCGTCGCGAGTGCGTCCCGATTCCCTTTTGATTATAATTTGTGTTCACGTCTTTGCAATCTGTGAGCGAGAATTTGATCTTTTCATACCGGAATGAAGCGTCGAAAGGTGATCTTTTACACTGATTCGACCCCCATTCGTCAGGGTTCGTACTTCGCTCCAACCTGTACTCCAAAGTGCGTACGCACTAAACGCCGCGAGTGTCGTTCTATTCATTCCTCGTTGGTCCTTGTGAATGAATCTCAGTGGTGCCTTTTCATTCAATAATCCGAGGATGACCCTAATCAGTCACGGGTGTCAGTCACGAGTGAGTGCGCCTCTTTAAATACGCGAGTTCCACGCTTCTTACTCGCGCGTTATGCGATGCGAGTTGCATGAGCGGTTGGACTCGGAGTGAAACCGGAAGTCCGCCGACGGCCGTTCCGAGGTCGTTATGTTAGAATCCTCGACAATTGTTTCGTTAACGATGAATCGACGTTTTCACTGTCTCATCGATACACCGTTCGCTCGTCGTGTCGATGAAATCCTCATCAGTGAAATGTTTCTCAATTGTTTCAAGGTAACCCGGTTGCGCGGATAACCCGAATTGTTTGACGACTCACAGTGACACAGAAATCAGAGCGGGTAAACAACAGATAATCGAGTAAATTTGCTCAATTTGGGTTCGCCGACTTTATCATTCTTTATCTATTGTGGACGCACGATGGAATGCAATATGAATTTACTATATAATAAAATGCATATCCCGCTGTGAGATCTGAGTATTTCTTATATTCATAAACTTTCTGTAAATTGATTCTATACGGATTTCGAAATTATTTCAGTATCAGCTTTAGAGATCTCAGAAATCGTTTATTAGAACCATTGCTTCTTTCTGTTTGTTCGTCACATAATGTAGCGGTTCTACTTCCATGGTACGTTGCACGCGAGATTCCTTCGGTTGGAAACCCAAAGGAAGCAGCGATAAGCAAACTCTCTGCTCCAGGTACCTTGCCAGGTACTATACAAACTGATACCTGTGCCCTCGATAAAACGCTTTGCGTATGATAATGAACCAGGTTCTAAAGCTTATTTGATAACTGTCTAATCTTGTCTGCTTATTCCCAGTTGAAATATTTCTTACACGTGTATCTCTGCCTATACTTGTGGCTCTGACCGTTTTTCAATGCAATCAGAAATTCACATTCAAAATAATTATAATTTTAAGACTTAAGATTACTTTCATAGAAGAATAGGAAAGTGATCGACTATTTTCATTTTTCAAATCACAGATGGAATATACTTTTGTTCTCTATCAGTTTCCGTAACAAACATTTATTCATACGTAACAGGAATCTATCGGAAGAGATTATTGTCCACTAACAGAGATGAAAGCTGGTGAAATTTTCTTCCACACGTCACGCTCTTTCACTCTTAAATATTGACTTACGGTCGAGTGGGCGTGAAGATCGGTTCGTCATTTGCGCTCAACGAGTGGCTCTTCGTTGACAGCTGTAATTTGTAACGTGTGCAGTTTACATTGTTCGCTGAGTAAACCCCGTTCCTCCGCTGCGTCGCGTCGGTGCACGGTGTGCGGCTTTAAATCAATGTGCTCCACATAACGTTATTGATAAAAGGGGTACGTAGTACATATGTATTTTATGTATCGCGTTGCACGATAGTCGCCTAGGTGCAAGCCCGAATGCACAAGCCTGTATTTTTCTCGTCCCTCTTTTCGTCATTCCGCCTCTACGTGTCCAGTTTCGTCGTACAATTTATACGAGCGAAATTTACAACCATTTTTCCGATCTCCAACGCAATAGGAATTTCATGGCGCGAATTTTCACATCAGAAGTTTCAGGGATGGGTGGAATTACATATTTTAAACAACGTACTTAGGAACCTCGACGCGTTTCATTGTTCACTGTGCATATCACATTCACGTATTCTTTATTTAATCTGATTTAAACAATCCACGATGCAGTGCAACGTAATTATCCATCTCATAATTCAGATTCGCATCTCAGGCTTTCATCTCTGATTACGATACCGTTGACCTCACCTCTAGAAACCATTTATCAGCGCTGAACGCTGTTCACTCAGATTATCCAATTAACTTCAGCCCGCTTCTTGCTTTCTTTGTACACGTACGTATTCATCAGGGCTACAATCCCAATTTGTCTGATCATCAGCAGACCGACGTCTTGGTTCTTCGAATGCATTTTTAATAAAACTAAACGTTCCCTCAGACGAGTCTTGAACGTCTTTTAGAACACGTCGAATGAGAGTGAATATTTTTAGATTATCGTGATCTCTAGCTCATTAAATATAGTTTTAGAAACACAGCGGTGGAAAATAGTGTTATTAAGAGATAAGCTCTCTTGAAATTTGGCATTCGACACAGGCGAACGATTCAGCGTGGACAAGTGTCGTAACCGGCCCAGATTCCGGTCCGTTTACCAATAGATCGTCTCGCTTTTAAATATATCGGGCCAGCTGTGAACCCCCCCTCTTCCCCCCTCGATTTCGTAACGAACCTCGGCGCGGTGCGTCGCCGTAGGTAGAGTATCCTCGCGAGAATCGATATCGCGATTGAGCGTATCGATAGCCGAAACGAGCCAGCCAGCCCTCGTTGCGAAACGAAAAGGAAAGTCGATCCTACGGCACATCTTTTGGCATCAGAATGCAATCTGGCCGCGTGAATCTGCCCGAGAGGCCGCCAATTAAGTTTGCAAAACCCCGCGCGGTCGCCCCGCCGCCGTTCTATTCTCTCCTCCGCGTTCGAATTCGAGATCTGTTCGGCGGTCGATCCGTCGACCGTCCGTCCGTTCCTTCCCGCATCGGTTATTCATCCAGCAGGATTTATGACCGAACGGGTCCGCGCATCTCGTGGATCTTCTTTGCTTCGTGGCTCGGCTCTGCGTTTTAATGAAGCGTGTAAATCAAAAGTCGGACGAGCGACGTGAAAGCTGTTCGACGTTTGATATATTTCTCATTGGATATACCCGGAATCAAAATCGTTTATTTTTCCTGTTTGCGCAATTTGTAATACGACCGGACAACGGAGGTGAATAAAATATTATTATTGTGATAGATAGGAATGGGAAGGGAAAAAGAAGAATGGCAAAAATGCCTTTCCGCAAAATTCGAGAATTCTCGTCGCAGGCATTAGTAACTATGGTAACCGTTCGCCCCGAGCTATTTTCTGTTTATTACTCGGTGAGTTATTACGTTATCAAGACGCTTGGTATATGGCGCGTTATTTAACAACGCACTGCGTGCGGCATTTAAACAGGGAATTTAAATGCTCGCCTCGTTTCTGGTGCCTTTTCAAGCATTCCGATCGCGGCTGGAGTTGAAAGGGATAATTCTAAATCCGATTATGTTTCAAGATCCTCCGGATATTAATCTGCATAAAACGGGAAATAAATGCTTAACAGTAAATAAGGAATAACAATCCATGATGAACGATCATGCAACTCCTTCATTATCAAAGTCATTACTCATGCCATTTTAAATTAGACTAGAATTTTTGTGCGAATGAAAAGGAAAAACTGGATATTCGATAGCAATTAAAAATCTCTCAGAATACTTTGATATAATTAATTATCTGTGGCGCCGCATAAAACGAGGAAAATGAAACTTTGTTTGTGCCGGCGCGGGTAGCGAACAAAAGGGCTAGGCGTCGCGACGTCGTCGGGGCCGTTAATCGTCTTCGTAATAATTACGCGATTCAACCTTTGGATTTTCGCGCGGGAACGAACACGCGCGCGCTGCCCGAAAGCCCGTTGCGTTGTCGTTATTTCAATTTGCCTTGCCTCTTCTCCCTGTTCTTCTTCGACTCGTTTTTCCCGCGTTGCTGGATTTTTGCGCACCAAAAGAATCCGTGCGTCGCGACCAATTACACACCGTGAATTACATCGCTCGTTTACAAATATTCCGTTTTGATCTCCGCGACGCGAGCTCGCGTGTTAGACACTGTCTACGGAGCCAGACGAATTATTTAGAGGGCATTCAGTAACAGCAAGACTACGTCTGTTTTTAATATGCACATCTTACTTACTTCATAAAAATTTTATACGAACGTTTCAGATATTATTGTTTTAATGACGTGCGTCTAAAAATAAAATAATCGATCTTGTATTCGAAATTGTATATCAGAAAACGTAAGGTACAAAGGAAATGAGTTATGAATCATAGATCGAAACTGAGATTCGTATTTACTCGTGGAGATAATACTTTTTGACTATCAGTCGTTCATGGATGAGCCATACTCGAGCAAGAATGACACGTGTCTCGGAGTAAATAGACACCTTTAACGCTATTACGTCTGAACGTAGGTTGCGCAATGTTAGACGGGCTACCGATACATTATCGTCATTATTGCGTTGTTTCTGATCCTCGGTGGCCCGGCGTATAAACCGAACACCGTCTACATCATCTAATAATGCGCGCCAGCTTCACTATCGGCCGCTGTGTGCGTATGTACGATAATTACGAGCACCGCGCGATAATCAACAAGAAAGTTGTTATTTGAAAACCGTTCTGCGTTACTAATTGCCCGATATTTTATGCCATCCGCTCTACCATAATCTTTCGTAACGCGTCATTGCCGCGTTAATTAACGGAACAATTATTACACCAGTTCCACCACCATGTCCCTCGCCGCAGCGTTAATTCGAGCGCAGCGTCGTTCGATTTTTAGCCTCGACTCGAGGTCGTGTTTCGATTTCGATTCGACGGCATTAGCTCCCCATATTGTACTCGTAGTCGGTTATCAGGGACAGGTAAGAGGTTGAGAAAACATTTTGTCTTGATTATGAGCTGATGAAATGATTCTGATTATGACGAATGTCGAAATCGTATAACAAAAGAACTGCGTTACTGATAAAACCTGTCCAATTTTAGTCACACTCGTTTTATTAAATTATGATCGAAACCAGGTTTAACGTGTTTGATGTACATTATCGTCATTCTCAAGA